AGAGAGAGACTGATAGTGCTATTAAAATTCCTGTATATAAATTTTGCTAAGAAAAACACCAATGTGACTAACATGTTTAGTCCATACAGTTGTGTTCAAAGTTAGTCTGAATAATGCAGTATCTTGCCCAGTAATTAAGGTGGTTGTTACGCATTTGCCATTAATGCTCAGACATTAAATTATGGTGAACTTGCTACTGGGAAACAGGGGTCAAAAACCCTCTCATAACTGTTTCAAGAGATAGATGTGATATCTGTCTGTCCCTCCATAATTTCAAAATATTGCAGAACATCAGAATCTCATTACAGTTATCAATAGCACAGCATGGGGGGAAGACGGGGAGCTACTGAATGCATGTACATAATGGTAACTTAGCAATATTTGAGCTTTTAAAAATAGCTCAAGATTTCTTCCTACAATAAATTAAAACACATGATTCTCCCCATTCACACCCTTATGATGAAGATAATGAAAAAGAATCATTATTTCAAGCAGAAATAGGCTAAGATCTTTACAGACTGAGGACTTTGCCCAATGCTTTCATTGCTACTGCGGGTAGTCCCTCCTTCAGTAAGAGGCTGGGAAACCTGATATTATTCATTAAAATCCTAATGGCTTCATTGCTGTCTCAGAGATTTTCTGATTCATGCTTAATTGATCTAGTAAATTGTGCTAAAATGTGTTTACGAACGTACTATATTTTACCACAAACACGCACTTGTCAAGCGGAACACATTTTATGACGCAGTGTCCTAGATTGATCAAATTACCAGCGGCTGCAGTTGAACACCTCTACACGAGAGTCATTTGCAATGCAGGAGGTTTTGTAGGTGCTGTGGTAATGGGTTACGGCGCTTCGCTGCCTATCTTATTCTAGCAGTGAATAACAAACAGTTCAGTAGCACATATTACCTCCCCACGTACATTGTTTCTTGGAGAAACAAACAAAAAAAAAGCATTAAAACACACTATTCAAAGCCTTTGAAGTATTTAGCTGTTAGGTACAAGAGAAATATGTAAGGATTGTCATAGAACACCTTCATTTAGAACAGCAGCACTATACTGCTCAACATGGGGAAAAATGTCTTTAAAAACAAAGATTGCTCCTAAAGAGCAAACAATCTCTACTCAGACATTCAATATCTGTGATGGAATATGCATGCATGTATAAAAAGAAATATAGGAGATTAAAGCAGATTAAATAATAGTATTAAAAGAAAGGCTGAAAACTAAATTTGAAAAAGTTGAAATTAATTTCAGGCAAAAAACAGTTTTACCAAGCATACTAAAATATGTATGCTAAGAAAAAAAACCAAAACAAATAAAACCACACACACCCATAACAAAGCAAACCACCTCTTTGTGGAGAAACAGAGATTCATGCACTAATTTAATTATATCTGTTCTCCTGTGTAATTTTACCATCCTGAAAACAGCGGCAAAGTTCATTTTTGTACCAAGGTCTTTCAGGTTTAGCAATAGTTTAAGAAGCCAGATACAATTTTTGTTGGAAAAAAAATCCACCATCTATTCACCTAAATTGATCTTATTATCTGAAGGCATTGTTCATATAATTAAGCATGCTTAGGACTACAACGATTTTATGGACCCTCTGATGTGAACAGTTTATTCGGATTTCCTTTAGATTCCCTTATTTTGATCCCAGTGCCAGTTCAGATTACACATTGCAACATTTAAACATGACAAATATAAACCAATAAAAACATCCTAAAAAAGCCCTAGCAAGTTCACACTGGCTGCCAGACTCCACAAGTAGAGAAAACTACCAAGAAAAATGTATCTGCTTTATAAAGAAAACAAACAATTGCAAAATGGCTCATTTTGTTTGTTTTTCTTTTATCAGTCCAGAGATGAATCTTCTATTAACATCTGCCATGTATCATCGTGTAATCCTCCTTTTCTCTTTCCTCCCAAACTACTGCAATTCAGGGTAACCCTAATCTTTAAAGTGGACAAGAACCATAAAACCCTACCTGTGGTGGGAAGGATTAGGGAGTACATCATGCTTTTTAGTAGATGGGATTTAAACAAGCAATAAGGAGAGGAAAACCTCCCAAGACATAATCCGACAGTCTCAGACTGACCCAATTCTTTTGCCATAAGAAGTGATCATCACATATCTGCCCCGATTTAAATTGATGGTTAAGTGTGCCAAAGAGTTTGCAGATTCTGCAGTATATTTTTAACTTTGAGCTGACTAGAGCTTACACTTGAAACATGGGATAATTTAGCGTGCAGTTTTGTACAGTTAAATATTAGGAACATTTAAATTAATCCGATAGCAATTGGGACAAATCAGAATCCCAATTTTGCAGAAAATTCAATTCTAAGATTGAGAGATTTTAATTGCAAGTAATGCTGGAAAAATATATGTAGTCACAGTTTGAAATAAATCACATACTCCTCCCCATACATATATATGTATTTTTCCCCTTATAAAACTGTGAATTTTTATCCATAAACATTTCACTTAGCATTCTTTTATTTCTTTCAAAAAAAGGCCTGAAATTGGAAAAAAAAAAAAAAACAAAGAAAAGTAAATTGAACCATAATTGAAGTACTGTCTGAAAACAATAAAATCATATGGAAATCAGTATCTTAGCATTGGCAATTCTATTGTCATTTTGTTTGAAAGACAGAACATATATCCTGCATTTTTCTTACATGAAAATTGGCACCAGAATATTAACACTGTTTCATCAGATGCTGCAAGTCTAAAAAAAATAAGCAACTTCACAGAATGTCTGTGGGGAAGTTAGAATATCACTTATAAGAAATTAATAATCACTATGAAAATTTAAGTAGCAAAAAAAAACTTATTCAGTATTTATGAAACTAAATTACAGAAAGATTGGCTAACGGCTGTTACACAGCTACTAGGCTGTATTGTCAAACCTAATCTTTTTTCCAATTAAATTAACAGTGCAGCCTTGGATACCCTGAACAACCTTCACTCCTCTCCAGGAAAGATAAATGCAGACTTTGTTTGAAACTCCCTCCTTTTGCTGCTTTCTTGTTCACATACCTTATTTACCACTTTCCTAAGCAAGGACAAACTGACACAATTCCTGGCGCTGTCTCCAGCTGGAATCTTGCTGCAGGAAAGCTGCGCTCTGACCTCTGCTGGTGCAGAGCAGAAAACTGAGCCCGAGAGCCTCTGTCCTCCACGAACGGTCACTCCGTGCTTGTGTACAAAGATTTGCTCTAATCCTGTGGTTTTTTGCATCACACAGCAAAGCTGCTGCATGCATTTCTCTCCTCCTTCAAGCATTGTGTGTAACTGCTGCTTACCTGTATTTATCAGGGCTGTTGGTCGCAGCGCAGCTTGAACGGTCAAGACGTGGAAGAGCTTCCAAAGGGAGCAGCTATAACCTCTCAGTTCGGGTCTGCTGCCCTGGCACCCGACCCACTGAATTCGCTTAGTGAGAAATATCCCAGAAATCTGAAAAGAAGATGAATTTAAGATCTATGCATCCCTGAGACCTAAATCAACTTAATAACCAATTTCAGAAATGATAGTTCAATATGCTTTAAAAACAACAACAACAACAACAACAACAACAAAAAAAACACGCACTCATGGAGTCTACAGAGCCATTAAAAACTTGGAACTATCCCGACATAAAATCTCCGAGATCTCTGATCAACTGTTGTTAATTTTATCCTTTTTGCAAACATACTACATGGGTGTAACACACAGTCACTGATGTTAAACTTACCAAGTTGCAGATCATGAATGTCTGATTATTCTGGTGGAATACATGCAATAGCTTAACTTATAACTTTTTTTTAGGCACAGTGTAAAAAAAGAGACACACCCACATATTTATATATGCATATAACATTATTGTAGATTCAGACCAAGTTACAATTTCACTAGGGGCAATATAAACACCTTATTACTCTGTAAGAGTTACAAGACTTATTAGTAGTCATGTATTAACAGAATAACATGTACAATTCATTACTATTTCTTCCAAATTAAAAAAAAAAGTCTATAAATCTAGTGCAAGATCTTAGATATAGTGAACTTATCTCTCTGCTTTCTAAAATACACAAGTTTCCAGAATTCAGATGGCAATCTCACTTTATGGGAAGAAAGACTCATATTAAGAGAACAGTGTCAGTGACAATAAACATCATGCACACATTCACACCTGTTTTGGAAAGGGATGAAGAGCAAAAGCAACTCAAAAATTTCTGCTGAGGATCTCAAATCATTTGAAGGTGACATGGGGAACATCCAAATATTAGTGACTATGTGTCCATTATAAAATTGAGACAGGATTGCATATTCCAATGCTCTCATTTCAATTCCTTCATGAGATTTTTTTTTCCTGGTAATGATTTCACTTCATTTTAACCTTCTTATAACTCCATTATGACTGAGGGACTATCAGTAAGTGTTGTCTTAGATTTATATAGAATCTTATCCTTTACTAATGCTGTATTTTATGCTGGAAACTAGTAACAGCTTACCCGCATTTTGTTGTTGACCAGATCTAGGATAGCATCATAAGGGATTTTGTCTAATGGAAGGCTCACCAGCCACTCTTGCAAGGTCTCTAACAACTTCACCACAGGAGGACGGCCGGGAAAAAGCTGGGGGGGAGGTAAAAAACAAAACAAAACAAAACAATATTTTAAAGCTCAATCTCATTAACACCAAAAACAGTTCTATATTTAGCTAAAGATATTTTTCTTGTCTTTAACAGCTTCAGTTAAACTTAACAGGCTATTTCTTTTGTTACAAATTGTTCGCAGATTAATCATTTGTTCTGTTTCTCAACAAAAAGCTATTTTCTGCTACCATTTATTTACGGAATTTAACAAGTTGCATGCACATAGTGTGCCTGTGAAAAAGCTACACATGAATTATTAATATCTTAACTTTTATAGGCATAAGAATGAAGTGAATCAGATTAATCGCAAAAAGTAGCCCTTACAAATCTTTTGTTTAGATTGTTGTAAATGCACATGATGTCGATTTTCTGGAAAAGTTGTCATTTTCCTATGTGTAACAGTGATTTCCAAACATGTGCAAGTTAAACAACTTGAGTCTGGCGGATAAGTATGAGGAACTGTAAAACACAGCTGTATGTCATTATTTTACACGGGAAGTGGTAGTTTGTTACTGATGTTTCTAATTGCAACAGAATTCACTACAGTGTGCAGAACATCCTCTAAGTACCCTTCCAGAGGGAACAGTATTTCAACAGATCTTCTTGAAATAGTCCCTGTATTGGTAACATTAAATACATATAGAAATTGATGACAAAAGATACTAGACTTCAGCTAGCTCATTCTGTAGTTGCTGTCCAGCTATTCCTAACTTCTCTCGCTGCCTCAAAGGCCATTCACTTGATCCTGTGCCAGCCCATGGGCAAGAACTCCCTTTGGCAACTGTTTGTACAGGATCTAACAGGAGGGATCCGTACATTGTTGGGATTCAAAGACAGCTCTTGAACAGTCAGAGATACACTCCTTTATTACTGAACTACTGACTGTATTTTAAATTATTCAAAAGAATGGGCTTCTGCACAAAGAGCCAAAATATTGAATTCTACAATAAATACAATTCCCATGTAGGAGACTGCTTATAGCCTGCAAAAGATGCATACAATTACGGTACCAACATTGCACAGTGGCATGTTGACATTCTCAAATGTAAAGGATCCTAACGGAAGCACATGAGAATTATGAATGAGAACTATGAGGAAAGTGTTACACAACAAAAAATGCAAATAAAGGGCAGCATTCCCCATCTATCCAATGGCAGCCTGGAGATGAGAGTGCAACTAAAGAGAGCATTCCCCATTTATGCACTAATAGCCAGGAAAGCAAATTACATCAGCTGGCCAAGAGCCATCAGGAAGAACAGAGGATGTTTTAGGGATAATATGATGGAAAGATTAGCACTACACTTTCTTAAAGAAATGAGGCCAGCTGGAGATTTCTGACCTCTGCGGCTGTAGGGGGGCAAGAAACTGTCTGTCTGCTTTTGAGATAAATCCAGATTCTTACAAATATTTCATACAACCCTGATTATTCCCTTAAGTAGCTACTGATTTGCCTTGTTTAAAATAAGATAGTATGTTTATTATTCAGTAAGTAATGAGACATCGGTCATTTCAGCTGACATTACAAAGTTATTTTTTTTTCAAGTCTTATCACATTACTTACATTGTCCTTTCCCTTGGTGTAATATGACTGTCTTTTTGAAACACTGTACATCAATTGTGTTCAAAATTTAGACTGAAGTTGGCAATATCTTTAAATGTTCAATCATTCTAAGAACAGTAAAATTGTCAAATAAATAAGGTAATATGCATATGCAGTAACATAATCTGAATGCAAAGAATGAAAAATAAGGATCCCTTCCCTAAACACAGTGGCTACTCATCATGAAAATCTGATAAACAGGCTAAATTTTCAGTGTTTATTCTATATGTAGTAGACCATGTAGCCTTTATTTAATTTTGAGCCTTTTAAGACACACAACATTAACATGCCTTCAGTCCCACCTGTATTTCAAAATCACACACAATAGCTCAAAAACACCAGTTAAAGAAACCCACAAAACTTTCCTATTTTAGCTGGCAAGGAAACATTTAAACTCATTTTGAAAGACACTTTGAGAGGCGTATGTCACATAAGAAATCTTATGCTAGAGTCGCTTTACCCTCGCAAATAATCAAAGATTAGAAGCATATACCTTGGCAGAGATGGTAACAAAATCCTTGAAGGTCTTCAGCTCCGCGCCCTCCAGCGCCTTGTGCGTGGCGAGCTCTACCCGGAGCAGGTAATGCAATCCTGACTCAAGGTCAGCCATGTACAGCTTAGATCTGAAACACACATATATAACGTGGTCAAGTGGCAGGTTTCCTTCGCTCATTTTCTCACCAGTCATGAAGGTAAAATTGATATATAGTAGGTGTCATTAAAAGCTCAATGTTTGCCACTCCACAGTGATTGGAGTCTATCCTACACGGTGTATGGGAAGAACACAGCAGTAAGTGCAGCTGTTTGGTAGGGTGATGTCAAACTCAATGAGTTTCACTGTACTCATCTTTTAATAGAGTGGTTTTACATTGTTATATGCAGCAATTAGAAGAATGAAGTATAACTATTCACAAGTCCTGTTGTATTTGAGTAAGCTTCTTGCCTCCTAGTTAGTTTTATCATGTACTGAAATTAGAACCTGACATTGTCAGCAAGGAAATAGGTGGTGTAAAGTAATTACAGCTTCTCTTCAGAATCCAAACAAATTGGAAATTATAACCTAAGAA